ACAGTTACTGTTACAAATAAAAGTAATTCTTGTCTAATCTTGCAGGCCCCATCCCCATAATGTGGTGGGAAAGAAGGGATGCAAAGAGGGAGTGTGCTCCATGGAAATTTCAGTAGACACCACCATTACCATTCCGTTCTCCAATCTGGGTATCCGATGCATGAAGAAGAAAGATATCGAGAATTCTTTGCGAAGGCGAGAAGAATTGAGAATCGACCCATTCAGAAGTGAGTATTTGTAATCGCAGAAACTGGAGAAAAACTTCTCCGTGTGCGGTTCTAATCACTCGCAGTTGTGTCCTGCGATCGTTTTTGCTAAGACATCGACATTCAATGCATTTAAAATGAGTATTGTAATATATACATGCACATATATCTTAATGTAAATTATCCTCATGAAAATTACACCTCGAAACTAAAAGGAATAACCCCTTCAAAATTTGGATCTGCCTATGCTCCCATTGTTTCGAGAATACCAATTTCTTAGGAGTAGTTTGCTGTGAGCTGCATATAATGTTACGTTTTCCCCGTGGGTTTGACAATAATTCACTACACTGTAAAATTAAACTCAGCTGTATTTCAGTGCTACACTGACAATACACCACAAACACTTTAACCAAAACTTCGGACCAATACTCAAATATCTATCGCCTTATTGGAACACATCGCTCCGCACTTTCAACTAAACTTCCTAGATCTGCGAGCAAGTCCATGGAAGTTTTTTGAAGCGACGCGACATCTAGAACGATGGCGAAGCGCGAGTCGAGTTTAGCGCGACCTTGGCCGAGGCACAATCGATTGACGACCAGCGGCGACCGGCCGTTATTTTTTCAGGGGATGATTTATAACAATTCGTAGCGAACTATGACTGAATCGAGAGTAGCCCCTGGATGAATTCAGACCTAGAGAACCAAAAGAGCATCCAGTGGTGATTAGTAAGTGCCAAAGAAACTATTGATTTGGAGAAGATCAACTGCTTAAATAGTGGGAACCAGAAGGCGTTTATTCAGTAGTCCTGCAAAAGTATGGAAACTCCGATTTCAAAATATGTGTGTAATTCTCAACCAATACGCATACATGCCGGGTATATCAACAGAAAAAAACAAAATATGCTAACAAGAACGAAGAAGTACTATGATCTGATTTCTTGGATATTGAATGCGCTTTTGATAATACGCTCCTAGAGACATTCATCAGGTGTCAAGAAGAAGAACAAAAGATTTCGGCGATACCAACAGGAGGTGGATATAGACTGCATAATTAGAGGAAGATTGGTGTACATGACAATTGTTGGAGAACAGTTGTTGCAATCACAGGGCCTCTAACCGAGCACAGACAATGCAACAGGGGGACAGATATAGCTTGCCAAACTTCGTGGGTTCGATTCCCGCCTCGACTAGATATTTTTCTCGAAAGAATTTATCTGGTTGAAGCGGGGATGATTCTGCAACCGTGTTAGGAGTCACACGTTGAAAGGTAAGACATCGTTAGTCCTTAGCTCACACAAGTTTCTCAACTTCTGAGAGTTGTCGTTCGTATGGGGGCGACAGCTGATTAACGGAAAACAGAAACAGACAGACAGTTTAGTAGGAATTTGAGGCACTTGCTCACAGGCGGCAAGCAATCCATGGACAACCCAGATTGAGTCCAGAAGAATACAACAGACATCCAACCAGGTACCACGATAAATCAGTACTTTGATCATCCAAAGTGATTTTGTGGATTATTTTCATATTTTCTGGTGTAACTGCCTCATTTGGACTGCATTTTTCATCATAGGTGTCTCTATGACCACGCTTGAAGTCAGCAAACCAATGTTTAACTGTTGTTTCTGATGGAGCGGAGTCCTTATGACACTTTTCAAGCCATTGCTCTGTTCAAACTAAACTAATACTCACGAGTCTGCTCATAAAAAAGTTGTGGAACAAACAATAAACTCGAAAAGTAAAAAAGTGAATTCCAAAATAATAAAAAAAGTGATGTTGCATTAGGGATCACACAGGAAGAAATCAAAATGAAATTGAATGAAATCATGAATATCAATAGTGATATACAAACAGATATTTCTAGTCTTCAGGAAGGCGAATGCAGTACCGTGCGAGACAGTGGATAATAACTGGAATCTGGCTAAAAATAAACAGTATAGGAAACGTAGTCTGGTATATGGAAACAATACAGAAAATAGTTCCGTAACAGGTGTTCCAAAATTTGTGACTTAACATGTGGGTAGGCTACAAACCAATACAACTGAGGAATCACTGGGGAGTATACTTAATAATCATTTTCTGGAAGTAGCATGTGAATCCATGAGATCCAGATTTCCAGAAATCTATTCATCTTTCAAAGTCAAAATCTTCGAAGACAATTTAAAAAAGGCCACGAACCCCAAAATATGGCCATTTGGTTCATGTATAAATCGTTTTTTAGAGAAGAGGTACAAAATGATGGAAGAAATGTGATATTCAATTCCCAAGAGCTTTTACTAAATGTTAAGTATTTAAACCAGAGTAAACTGGATGAAATTTACTCAGATATTGCCAGATATAATGTAAGAGTGATTTGTTTAACGAAAACTCACCTTTTAATCTTCCTCTTTGTTACATTGTCCCTCCTATAAACATGTAATTTTTCTTGGGATTAATAAATTATTTCCTTGTGCACACGTTCGAAAAGTACCTGTTCGAAACTAATCCTAGGAAGAAGAAACCCTTAACCTTATCTTTAGGTTATTAAATTTGGAAAGATTAAACACCTTATCCACCTGTTACAGTGTGGAATTATCACAAT